ACTTGAGAAATACCTATATGCACTAGGGGAACTAAGTGAACAGACTCATAGGACCTTCCTCAGGAAAGTACTAGGAGGCTGACACTTAGGAATTGTACCCTACGTGGCTCAACAACTGTGATCAGTTTACATTCCTCCTCAGGAGAAATTAAACTCACAAGTTGGCTCCAACATCACTGGATACTTAAGAAATCCTAGACAAACTAATGGAACTAAGTGAATAGACCCATAGGACCTTCCTCAGGAAAGTACTAGAGGACTTCCACTTAGGAATCGTATCCCATGTGGCTCAACAACAGGTGATCAGTTTATATTCCTCCTCAGGAGAAATTAAACTCACAAGTCGGCTCCAACATCATTGGATACTTACGAAAGAGGCGAGAAGAAAGAATGAAAGTCATTCATAGTGCCTTCCTCAGGAAAGTACCATAAACTCCCTTCAAACTTCAGGATCTCGAACCTCACAAACAGACAACAAGCTCCTAGACTAAGCCCCAATCCAATGCATCTCTGCAAGCTCCAACAGGACTTCCATCAGCTCCCACCTTCAAGAAGAACCCACAGGCCAACAAACCACAAAAGACTATCTCTGAAGTTCAACCACAGTTGAACTTCAAAGTCAGAAGTCACCCAGACTTCTCCTATCTTCAGGCTCAGACAAATCATATCAGGACACCCTACAAAAATCTATCAAAAATCTAATGGAAGACCTACATGGCTCTAGGACAACATACTGAAAAATCAGAACAAAATTCCACACCAGATGAAAGAATCAAAATCAGCAACACAGACATGTACACAGGCCAATTATTCAACATCAATAACAGTGACAAAATGCAATTAAAATGAAAATGCATGATTAAGCTAATATTTTTGTATTATAAAATTCTACACTGGGTCACGAATCTACAGAAAAAAGAACGGAATTATTTGACTAAATCTACCATTTTTTATGAATTTTCTAATGATATGCATGCATTGAAAATATTAAAAACACATCAATTAAAATGGAAAATATGCACAAAAATAACCAACAAAAATAAACTGTCATTTTTATTTTTATTTAATTTTCTAAACATTTATGATGAAATGGTAGAGAAAAGAATTATTAAAAAAACAATTATTTACATTTTTATTGTGATTTATTTATATGTATGAAAATATAAAAGAAATTGAAAGAAAATGACATGGAGGGGGTTTAGACAGCAAGCATTCCAGTTTTCAATTCATTGGGCCCTCAATGGTGGGGGTGCAACTAGCAGTTGGGTGCAGGCCCAGGTTTGAAATCAAAACAATCAGAAAAAAAACCTATAGGGGGTGCAGCGCTAGCAAATTCCAGTTGATATTATTACTGGGCTTACGCCCAGGGGGTGCGAAAAGTAAATTGGGGCCTAAGGCCCAGATCCTATACCCAGACTCACACGCAAAGGGGGGTGGGGAAGCAATTGAGGGGTGTGCGTTCAGAAACACGCTTTTGGGCTTTGAACCCAGCCCAACCTTAATCCAATACCCAGGGAACAAAACTGATTTCTCCTTCCCTAACCCTAGTACTGTTCACTCTCCTCTCTAGCCGTTCACCCGTCTTCCCCAACTCACCTTCTCTGCAACTCATCCTTTCACTCACACACCATTCCCAGAAAAAACACCAAACCCTTCAATCAGCTCAACCTTACGAATCATCCCTAGAATCCTAATCCTCAGAACAAAACCAAAACAAGAAACTTATGCTAAGAACACGCATGGCGGTTATGAGAGAGGGCTAACCTGAAACGAGGACGTCACCGGGATCCTTTTGGAGGCTCAGTGAAAATTGCCACGAGAGAGGAAAATCTTGATATCTTCTAGGTCGTTGAAGGAACTCACGGAGGCCTGGAAGCGCGCGTCGAAGCTGGCTCGAATCTCTTGAACAGATTAACGAAGAACTTCACGAACTCTACGAAGATCTGGGCGGAGAAACTCAAGAACCGATGACGCTATGAATCTGAAGCAGATGGATCTTGAAGATCCTTGAATCTGGTGGATTTCTGGAAAGCTTGCTTGCAGATTGAATGCCGTTTGAAGTTTCTGGGTTTTTCTTGCTTGGAGGATGAATGCAGTTCGAAGCTCCTGGAAATATTGTTTGAAGATGGATGCAGGTTTAGGGTTTCTGGGGATTTTGACGAGGATTGTTGAAGGTTTGAGTGGCGGATGAAGAACGATGAAGGTTTGGATGGATTGATGGAGATTGAATGTCTGGAAAATTGATGGAGGATGAAGTTGATGAAGGTGGAAGGGAGGAGATCGGAGGAAGGAGATGGATTTCTGGGGAAAAAACGGTTGTTTGCAGATTCCGGTGAGTGAGACGGTGGCCGGAGTCTGTTGGCGGTGGCCGGCGGTGGGGGCTACGGCTGATGCATGGCCGCCGGTGTGAAACTCAGGCGATGGTGTGGGGGCGCCAAGTGGCGTGCATGCGCAGAGAGAGAGAGTGAGTGGGGGACAGGTGGGGCCACGTGGTGTGATTCTGGGACGTCTCTGAGTGGTGGTGGCGTTCTCAAGGCGAAACGCGTGGGACCCTTCTTGCTTCAACACGTGGCTGCCCCTATTTAAGGCACTGAAAGTGCTGGAATCTTCTAGAAACTTGTTGAACGAATTGGCTGCATCTGGACCCTTTTTTTTGGACTTTGGCTGAATTCTTTGGACAAACAAATGAATGGGCCTCAAACATTGGACTCTGGCCCACGAAATTGACCAAACAAAATCTGTAAAAAACTGAATAATAAAATAAAAAACAATAAAACCTAATTATATCTAATTTCCTAATTAATCTAATGATTAATCCTAATAAAATCTAACAAATCAATTAAGATCTAATTAACTCTAAAAATTCAATTAACCTAATTAAACTTCTAAAAAAGATTAAAAGTCTAATTAATTCTAAAATCAATCTAATTAAATCTAAAAAAACTCAATTAACCTAATTAAACTTCTAAAAAAGATTAAAAGTCTAATTAATTCTAAAATCAATCTAATTAAATCTAAAAAAATTCAATTAACCTAATTAAACTCTAAAAAGTCAATTAAAGTCTAATTAATTCTATATTTCTACTAATTCTATTAAACTTCTAATATTATTTAATACTAGTATCTATTATTAATAAAAGAGAAAAAAAAAAAAAACTATACTATTTTCTATATTATCTACAAAACCATTAAACCTATTTTAAAATCTATACAAAATTCTAAAATGATTTTAAAAAAAGCAATTAAACCTATTTAAAAACCCTATAAAATTCTAAACTATTATTATCTATTAGTAATAAAAGAAACTATATTATTTTCTTTTTCTTTATTATTCTAAAAAAACTATTTAAAAATTTGTTTATATTCTAAAAAATCTATTAAAAATTCTATAAAATCCTAAAAAAAGAGATTAAGCTATTAAAATATTCAAAAACCTTATTTAAATTCCAGAAAAATCTATAAAGCCTGTTAAAAATTCACAAAAGTCTATAAAAATCCTAAAAATGCAGATGAATGCAAATGACCGCCATAAAAGCGCACGAGACCAGATTGAATCGAACAGAGATCCCCGGGCATCAGAATATCATTAAAATCACTGAAAAATCACCGAGGAGCGCACAATTTCCCGAAAATAAAACCCCGATAATCTGGACTGGGTCTGCCATATCTGATAGACGAAAGTCAAGCTGTAAACTCTGATATCTCCTGCTTGTGCACAAATATCACATGTTTGAGCTGCGAATATGAAATTAAACCATGAGTCAGATAGGAAAATCAGTTGGTCAAATTTTAGGGTGCAACACCTGGTGATGAGGTTGAGAGAATGGTCAGCGAGGCAGAGAGATTTTCAAAAGAGGACAAAGAAAAGAGGGAAGCAATAGACACCAAGAACCAGGCGGACTCTGTTGTCTATCAGACTGAGAAGCAATTGAAAGAGTTGGGAGAGAAGGTTCCTGCCCCTGTTAAAGAGAAGGTGGAAGCTAAATTGGGAGAACTTAAAGAAGCTATTACCGGTGGTTCAACTCAAACTATTAAAGATGCCTTGGCTGCCCTCAACCAGGAAGTTATGCAGCTTGGTCAGTCTCTATATAACCAACCTGGAGCTCCAGGCCAAGCAGGACCTACACCACCTGGTAGTGAGTCTGGCCCCTCAGAATCGTCAGGCAAGGGACGTGAAGGAGAGCAGATTGATCGAGCTCTATTAAAAAATGTCTTAGATATATTTGTTGAAATTGGAATAGGGCAAAGGATCAATATGACAATGATTTTGAAGCTGCCATGCTCAAAGACACTTCTGCATATTATTCTCGAAAGGCTTCAAACTGGATCCTAGAAGATTCTTGTCCTGATTATATGCTCAAAGGCTGAGGAGTGCTTGAAACGGGAGAAAGATAGGGTTGCTCATTACCTACACTCTAGTAGTGAGTCAAAGTTATTAGAGAAAGTTCAACATGAGCTTTTATCTGTGTATGCATACCAACTTCTTGAAAAAGAGCATTCTGGATGTCATTCATTACTTACAGATGACAAGGTTGAAGACTTGTCAAGGATGTTCAGACTCTTTTCTAAAATACTCCGAGGCTTGGAGCCTGTTTCCTGTATATTCAAGCAGCATGTTACTGAAGAAGGTACAGCATTGGTGAAGTTGGCTGAAGATGCAGCAAGTAACAGGAAGGCAGAGAAAAGAGATATTGTTGGCTTACAAGAGCAGGTTTTTGTTCGAAAAGTGATTGAGCTGCATGACAAGTACCTGGCATATGTGAACGACTGTTTCCAAAATCATACTCTATTCCACAAGGCTCTTAAGGAAGCTTTTGAGATTTTTTGCAACAAGGGTGTTGCTGGAAGCTCAAGTGCCGAACTGCTTGCCACTTTTTGTGATAAGAAGCAATTGAAGATACTCTTGAGAAGGTTGAAGACGAAGCTGTTTGTATCAATATTTATCAATATCAATCTGATTCTCAGCTCCACAGCTTCATTCAGATCTCGTCATTTTTACAATGGCGGAATCACTGCAATCCCTCGTTTCTCTTTCTGAATTGGTTACTACTTCATCCACTAACCAACGACTTCGAATTTTCCAGCGTGAAGTCCCTGCGTTTTTGAATTCATCCGTTTCAGATGATGTGGCCCCAGAGCTTGCTTCGTTGTTAACTGATATTATATTTAGAACGGTTGCGATTTACGATGATCGTGGATCGAGAAAAGCGGTTGATGATGTAATTGTGAAGGCTTTGAGTGGTACGGTTTTTATGAAGACTTTTGCAGCAGCACTTGTTCAGAGCATGGAAAAGCAGATGAAGTCTCAATCTCATGTTGGCTGCTTCAGACTTATCAGTTGGTCGTGTTTACTGTTGAGCAAGAGCAAGTTTTCTACCGTTTCGAAGAATGCTTTGTGTAGAGTAGCTACAGGGCAAGCTTCTTTACTTAATATTGTTTGGCGAAGATCTTTTCGTGAAAGAACGGCTTGCAAGAAAAAGATTTTTCATTTATTTTCTAAGTCACCAGATATTTATAAAGTCTATGTACAAGAAGTGAAAAATGGCTTAATTCCTTATAAGGATAGTCCGGAGTTATTGTTGTTGTTGTTGGAGTTCTCAACTAGATCACCACCTTTATTTGGAGAATTCAAGCCCACATTTCTTGATATTTATGTTAATGCAATATTGAGTGCAAAAGAAAAGCCTGGAAAGAGTCTCCCTGAAGCATTTCATCCACTGTATTTGCAAATATCACATGAAGATTTTGGAATTATTGTTTTGCCGGCCGCTGTTAAAATGCTTAAGCGCAACCCGGAGATTGTGTTGGAGTCTGTTGGAATTCTTTTGAAGTCAGTTAACCTTGATTTGAGTAAGTATGCTGCGGAAATTCTTTCGGTAGTACTAGTGCAGGCTCGGCATGCTGATGAAGGGAGAAGGGGCGTCGCATTAGCTATAGTCAGGAGTTTGAGCCAAAAATCAAGCAATCCAGATGCGGTGGACACAATGTTCAATGCTATCAAATCTGTTATTAAAGGTTCAGAAGGAAGACTCGCTTTTCCATACCAGAGAGTTGGAATGGTGAATGCGATTCAAGAATTATCTAATGCACCTGATGGGAAATACCTCATCATTTTGTCTCAAACAATATGTGATTTTCTTTTATCATGCTACAAGGATGATGGAAACGAAGAGGTTAAAATGGCTACTTTGTCAGCTATAGCTTCCTGGGCTGTTAAATCTTCAAATATTATTCGAGAGAGTTTAGTTTCTTTTTTCGCATCTGGTCTCAAAGAGAAGGAAATTTTAAGAAGGGGTTTTCTGCGGAGTCTACACGTTATATGCAAAAATGACGATGCTGTCTTAAAGATATCATCATTGCTTGGCCCTCTTGTCCAACTTGTAAAAACTGGCTTTACCAAAGCGGTGCAACGTTTAGATGGCATATATGCATTGTTATTAGTTGGGAAGATAGCTGCCGTTGATATTAAAGCTGAGGAAATATTGGTAAAGGAAAAAGTATGGGCTACTATATCACAAAATGAACCTTCCCTCGTTCCCATTTCCACGGCATCAAAGCTAACAGTTGAAGATAGCATTGCATGTGTTGATCTTCTTGAAGTGCTTCTTCTCGAACATTTACAGCGTACATTATCCAGTTTCTCAGTCAGATCGCTGTTACAGTTAATCATATTTTTTATATGCCATCCGAGGTGGGATATTAGAAGAATAGCTTACAATGTTACTAAGAGGATTATAACTTCTGTCCCGCAATTATCTGAAGATCTTTTCTCTGAATTTTCAAAGTATCTTTATTTGATTGAAGAGAAACTTTCAGCTTTAAGAACAAGTGACACAGATATTTCTTTGGACCCTCAAGTTCCATTTGTTCCATCTGTAGAGGTTTTGAAAACACTACATGTGATATTCATTAACTTTCCTAAGCTCCACATATCTGAAGCAGCGACCCTTTGCATCCCTCATTTGGTGGGGGCACTTAAATCTGGTGGTGAAGTGGCTCAAGACTCTGTGCTTGACACGTTTTTCTTGCTAAAACAATCATGGTCGACCATGCCATTAGATATAGCAAAATCTCAAGCGATGATTGCCGCCGAAGCCATTCCCATATTGCAAATGATCATGAAAACCTGCCCACCAAGTTTCCATGAGAGGGCAGATACTCTTCTGCATTGCTTACCAGGTTGTTTGACTGTGACCATTAAACGTGGAAACAACCTCAAGCAAACAAGGAAGACAACAATCAACATGTGACTTAAGGCATGAAGTTAGTTCTTCCAGGTCCCTAGGTTCAATAGATAAAATAGTTACTAAGGAGGAAAATAAATGCTATGCTATGTCTGAAGAAGAAAAGGCTGCTGCAGAAGCTAGGTGCAGTACACTGTCACAGCTTCCAAAGATACCCTCATTCCATAAATTTGCTAGACGAGAGCCAATCCACATCACGTACTTGAAAACAGAGCGAAAATGGCTCGAAATTGAGGTTGAGCTGAGGAAACAATTCATCACTTATCCAAGCCATATTGCAAGCCATGTGAATATAATCTCAGCCATGTTACACTCCAAGCTGACCCCACAAGCTTTTAGAGTTGTTCCTAAGCCATGAGCTAATTGCAAAAAGTGGTCATCCACGTCACCTAAGTGAGCTGAAAGAAAAAGAGTAAAAACGACATGAAAAAATATCACAACAGGTCACACATAACTTGCATCCCAAAACGCAGAAAAAAATCTCACAAACGGCAAATCATTTTCACCCATTCTCATCTATAAATACAATTCATCTCTCACTCATTTTCTCAAGCTTTTCAAGCCAAAAAATATCTGCTGATTTTCTTCCTCAATTCTTCACTACCAGAAAAACCTTCGTTCATTCTCTTCTCATACTTCATTCCACCAAATTAACTTCAAATCAACCTCAAACACAGATCAATTTCGAACCAGAATTCGTTCAGAAGAAGAAGAGAAGCAAGAAGAAGCTTGGATTGATTTCTTACCTGAGTTTGAAGGTAGATTGAGCTTCACCGTCATTTTCGATCAGTTATCTTTTGTTGTGATTCTCTGAATTGTTGGTACCATTGTGAAGAGCTCTTGATTTCGATTGCAACCGTGTTAATTTTGCATCCCGTCGCTTTGATTTGAGCTTGAATTCATAGCCATGGTGAACGGTGTCGCGTGAAGTTTTGAAGAAGAAGTTGTTCTGATACTTTGGTTTTCTATTTCTCTTTCTCCTTTTCGTTTTTCTTTACTATTTTAAATATATTTTTCTTTATTCCTTTTATTTTGTTATTTTTTTTTTTACTAGTTAATATTTTAAATAGTTTTTTTAAAAAGAGCTCTTAAAAAATTTATTTAAAAAAACTTTGGTTTTGAGCTAATTGTTGGTTGTTTTGGATTTTAAATTTTGATAAGATCTCATCAATCTCAATGGACTTTGGGTGTCGATTTTATCCACCAAAAGAGGTGATTGATATTGATGATGATTTAATCGATTTAAGATCCAAATTGTGGTTTCTTTTCATTTTAGTTCTTCTTCTTATTTTTCTTTTGATCGATGAAATCTATGGATCATAGATTGTTGATTATCAAGGTTGATTAATCTTCATTATTTCAAAACTATGGACGAATAATCATTGAGATAATTCTCCTTACTTTGGAATAGTGATAGATTACCTTTGATTAATTGATGAAAAAATCTTGATTATGATGAGATTACTACCTCTTTTCTTTTTGTGTGGCATGTTTTAGGAGAGTGATTTACATATCACTTCTCTAACATGTATTAACACTAACATTTTATTGACCGGCCTCAGATAGTCGTGGTTTCTACATAAACCCGATTACGATTGCTTAACATAGCGCTAAATTGTCCCTTAATCGGAAAATGATCATTCGTGGCTCAAACTTACGTTTAAAAGTCCAAGTATGTTTAGTTGCTTGTCTTAACTCCAATACCTATGAAAATCATTGTTAGGAGGCTTTGATTCTATCAATCCTCTAATGAATTTTCATTAATCTTGGTCTAAGTGCAAGAATTAATCATCATTGATCATATGTTCTAACCACTAACCACTAATTCACTAACAATATCCTTGTTTAATTTTGTTTATATTCTCTTCTTACTCTTTATTTTTTTACTTTTATGCTTCCATTTTATCATTACATACCATATCTTTGTTTATGTTTATGTCATTTTTCTTTTGTCCACTCGGACCATACTTTGTTCAAAACACTAATAAAAGGATAAAACATCTAAAAATTTGGTGCTATTAATTTTGTGGTTATACTCTTGGACCATTCTTAGACCTTGGACTTCATGGACATTTTGGACTTAGGATTAGGACTTTCTTCCCTATGCTTGGAGAATTTTGAATCTTAGCCTTTATTTGGCTCGATCACTGGCTTATACTTTAAATCGGATGGAATTCTTTTTGCTTGCTTTGGAGTGTGCTACAAGTCGGTTAGATCTTTCTTACCTCTAGCTCTTATTTTGTTTTTTTAGGATAGTCACTTCATCTCCTCCCCTTCTTAAATTTTCAAAACTTTCTCCCTCTTTCAAAACCTTCTTGGTTTCAAACTTCAAAACCGCTTTCGCAATAAAACCTTGACTTTCGTCAAGTGATTTTTAAACTTTGTTTTTTTCGTAATAAAAGTCAATCAATGTTAATCATGCTTTGACCAATTTCAAAAGACATAAAAAATACAAAAACTCATCAACTCTTTTTGTGCCTTTATGCACTTTTCACTTTAAAACTTTTCATAAAGTTTAGACATGATTCATTTCTATAGTTGAGATGTAAATCTCCTATTCCCCATATTATTAGGACTTTGACATTTTCCACGTTGATGTTGAGTGATAGTCTTGTTGATAATCCAAGCAAATCCTCCATCTTTATGTGACGCAAATGTTGTCTTAATACTCGTGGGTGGATAGTCGCAGTTTTCTCCTTGAAATGACGACTTGTCTGAACATCTAAAATCAATCAAAACCAACAAAATTTTGTCATTTGTACCACGAACTACGGGGTTTTGATTCCATATTGCACTTTATGGGTACGTAGGCATGAGACGATAAGTCTCTCCAAACACAAAAATATAAAAAAATAATTCTTTTCTCATCTCCCCAATCTCTTTTCAAACAAACCATTTTCAAACCAAAAAGCGTAAATATTTCAAAGGGCTCCTATAGAGTACTATAGACGTTTTGGGTGCTAACACCTTCCCATTGCGTAACCAACCCCCTTACCCCGATCTCTGCCTCATGTTCTTATTTTAGAACTCTTTGGTTTTGTTCGCTCTTTTTCCTTTCCTTTATTTGGATAAAATAAAAGTGCGGTGGCGACTCTTGTTTTCTTTGAGTTAAGTTAGTCAATAACTTACACTCACGATTTTTACCGCTACATATGGGTAGCTTGTTGGGTTTGGTAATGGTGTGGGTTTGGTTGTTAGGCGGGGTTGGTTGTTGGGCGTGTGATGACAAAGCTCGTTGGTGTAGGTCGATCAAATACCTCAGCTAGACACAAATTATGCTGTTGTAACCGACCTAAACCAATTCATATAGTTTTGAGTTGGTCTAACACCTTATATGATAGGTTCGTTTAAGACGTGTCGACGTCGATTCTTCCATTGACAACACATCTCTTTAGCAAAGCCTTTCCAATCGGAATAACCCCATTGGGCATTGACTCTTAGTTGATGTCAATCTCCCAAACATGTCGGATGGTTTGGAATTTGTTGTTGCATATCGAACTGCAGTTTTACATGGTCACTCAGGTGCATCTCCACGGTACTGAACCTAATGGTTAGTGTTTTTCTTGTCTAAACTGCAGCATCCTGGGGTTAACCTCATGGTCGAGACCCAGATACGGCCTCTAGATAAACTGTATAGGAAATATACATGATTAGAAGATTTGTAATTTGGTAATATTAAAACCAAATTTAGTTGTATTTAGTTGTAATATAGAGTTTGATTCAAGGCGGTCTATAAGATTGCGATAGACTATTATAGCGTGTTTGGGACATCTATTGTAGTTCATTCCCAGAATAGACCACCTAAACCGAAAAGATTGAAAATACATTATTTATCGTTAGTTGTAGTATTAAGTAATCAAATTCGAAGAAATAAGATAAACTTACTTTGTTGCGAAGGGGAATGTGAATGACTTCTCGTTGATTGGGGCGAGTGACAACATTCTCGACTAACCTCATGCTTGTAGCAAAAAAGCACAATAAAACGAGAAAGTGTATTTTTTTGCATTTTTACACAACAAACTATATAGATGAGAGAAAACAGTTGAACCCCAACTATATGTTCCTATTTTATTTATGTTTCTTAACAATGGCAAATACACAATATTTACTGTATTGTCAGTAGTTTCAAGAAAAAATTACCAAATAGAATCATAATATAACACCGAGCTTTAATTATTTTTTTCATACTCAATCGAATTTTCGGTTAATGTTATACTTGAATAGTATTGTTTAAGATATTTTATATTAATACCTTGACCCTTATGTTGACTCGTAGCTTATCCCGTAGTTGTGTCTTCACACAAAGGGGCACCCAACAATTCTTTGCATATAAAGTTATCTTGGTTAACACTCTACCATTAACAGCTTTACCATCGATAGGTAGACCCAACAACATGTACACATCCTCTAGTGTGACGGTACATTCACCGAACGGAAGGTGAAATGTGTGTGTCTCGGGTCTTCATCTTTCTACCAAAGCAAGGATAAATTTATGATCGACAGAGTATGAGACTGTGTTGAGTAATTTACCAAAACCGCATGCTCGTAAGTATGGTTCTATCAATGGGTCGTGTGGTAAATATTCTTGTACACGACATCGAAATCTTGTTAGTTCCTACCAAAAGATAATTAAGGAAAATAAATAACCTATAGTATTCACGGGAAATTTTATAATACATTCAAAATATTAACTTATAAACTCCGCAATATTGTTGCAGTTCCTCGATGTTCATCACCCATTGTTAGTAGAGACATTTTTTGAAATGCTTTTTAGTGTTTATTGCTGACAAAGTGGATAAACTGAGTGTTTATTGCTGACAAAATTGATAGATTGAGTGTGTTTGATGGAAATGTTGAGTAACATAGTCGTGTTTATATATGGGAGATAGAATTCACGTGAAGTTTTGTTGTGTGTGGCCTCCAATGTATGCATCATACCCAATCACACATTGGTTGTTTTTTGAGAGCATGTGTCGGTAAAAATGGCGCCTCATGGGCTCATGCAT